GTTGCAGCATCTCCAGGGTCTTGTGATTTACATTCAGATGCTTGGCAACTGATTCATATTTATGATGGTCACAGTGTCCCAGGGTCATGTGAAATGACCAAAACCTGCTGCAACCACCCAGCAGATGGGGGGAATAAAAACCAAACACCCCCCACCCCACCCCCGCTGCCAATCCTCAACAGAAATGCTCACAACAATGAAAACCTTGGACAGGAGGAAGAGCATTGCCGGGTGGGCAGGCAGGTGTCTTGCTTGGCTGTGGCTTGGGGGGCACTTTTTTCAGTGGTATTGTAACTTCAAACAGTCACTAAGCAAACTGTTGTAAGTCCAGGACTACCTACACTTTATCACTTTTTTCCTTTTTTTTTTTTTTTTTTTTTGGTCATCAAGTTTTTGACACGTTGCTAGGCGACTGGTGGTACTCGGGTATTGCCATATCCTAAAAGTGGTACAATGGGTGAAAAGGTTGAAAAACCCTGTTCTAGTCCAATCCCCTGCTCAAGCAGGAGACCCTATACCAGTGGTGGTGAACCTATGGCACGCGCGCCAGAGGCGGCACTCAGAGCCCTCTCTGTGGGCACGCGCATCACGCCCTGGAGATGGCAACTGTCCCTCTTCAACCAGCTGCCTGCTAACTCGCAGAGGTCCCACATGGCCGGTTGCATCCTAGCATGGCTGGTTTCCCTCCCCCCCCCTCCCATCCCTCCTGGCCTCACATGCTCTCCTTTTCCCGGGCACGACCCACTGCATCGCCTCCTCAGCTGTCGGACGGCCGTCCAGCTCAGAGGTGGCTTCTCTGAACTGCTGGAGGCGGGCTGCGGAGCCCCAGAGTGCGCCGGTCGATGAGCCAGCAGGCTGTCGCTGCTGATGGACACCGTCAGCCCCCATGTGCTCGCTGGCCTCTGTGTGCGGGGGCCGATGGTGTCAGGCAGCAGCTGCCCCAGCCCCTGCCTCGCCTTGCCCTGCGACAATGGCACCCCCGCCCTGCCTCGCCTCACCCCGCAGGATGAGCCTCCTGCCCACCGCCCACCTGCCAGAGACCCCTGGATCTCCCCCAACCCTGCCCGGCCCCCACAGGCATCCCTCCCCACGAGCAACATCGAGGTGACCACACCCACCTTAGCCACACCCACCCAGTCTGCCATGACCACAGCCATGCCCATCCAGTGGGCCACGCCCACCTGGCACCCGGCGATAAATAAGTGGGTTTTGGGTTGCAATTTGGGCACTCGGTCTCTAAAAGATTCGCCATCACTGCCCTATGCCATTTCAGTCACGTAGTTGTCCAATTTCTTCTTGAAAACCTCCAGTGTTGGAGCATTCACCGCTTCTGGAGGCAGGTTGTTCCACTGGTTAATTGTTCTGTCAGGAAAATTCTCCCTAGTTCTAGGTTGCTTCTCTCCTTGATGAGTTTCCACTGGTTGCTTCTTCTCCTGCCTTCTGGTGCTTTGGAGGATAGGTGGATCCCCCTCTTCATTGTGGCAGCCACCCAAATATTGGAAGACTGCTATCTGGTCTCCCCTGGTCCTTCTTTTCACTAGACTAGATATGTCCAATTCCTGCAACCGTTCTTCAGTTCAAGGTCGGGCTATGGAATCCCTGATGCTATCTGAGCTTGGGGGATTCTGGGAGTTGAAGTCCACAGGTCTTCCAGTCGCCAAGGCTGGGCACCCCAGCTCTAAGGGATGCGCCTGAACCTCTCGCCACATCTTAATTCTCCTTTTTCGCTTCCTTGAAACAGTGAAACCAGATCCTCCCGAAAATGTGATCGCAAAACCGATCCCTAACAACGCCCGGAGGCTACTGGTGACCTGGCAGTACCCTTCTTCCTGGCCGGATCCGGAGTCCTTCCCTCTCAAATTCTTCTTGAGATACCGACCGCTCATCATTGACCAGTGGCAGCACGTGAGTGTTCCCCCCCCCCGGCTTTCCTTTTAGGTTGGGGGGGGGAAAGAGCCAGAGGCTTGGCAGAATGCATGTGCCCCCCCCAGCACTTTGCCTGCACCCTGGGGCATCTTGGTGGGTATTCAACAGTGGTGATGGCAGGGGGGGCTTCCTACCGATTGAAACGCTTTTAAAAAGAGCATCCAGGTTCGTCTGGCTGGCACAAACAGGTGGTCCTCAACTTACAGCCATTCATTTAGTTACAACAGCACTGGAAAAAAAGTGACTTAGGACCGTTTTTCGCACTTGCAGCACCCCCACGGTCACATGATGTAAGTTCAGACAGCTTGGCAACTGACTCGTATTTGTGACGGTTGCAGTGTCCCGGGGTCATCTTTTGCTACCTTCTGAAAAACAATGGGGAAGCCGGATTCGCTTAATGACCATGTGATTCACTTAACAACTGCAGAGACTCACTTAACAACGGGCAAGAAAGGTCGTAAAATGGGGCAAAACTTATATAACAGCTGTCCAGTTTAGCAATGGAAATTTTGGGGCTTATTAGTGGGATGTAAGTCAAGGACTTCAATCTGGTACTTCTTGTGTTTTGAAGTAGTCTCGGGGCTCCAGATCTGTGTGTGTGTGTGTGTGTGTGTGTGTGTTTGTGTGTGTGTGTGTATGTGTGTGTGTGTCAGCAGCATGACCCAGCCCTGCTATTCATGAGACTCTGGTTCAGCTCCTTCTTTTTCAAGAGGTAACTGGACTTTCTTGTTTTTCTTTGAAGACTTTCGCTTCTTCAGCTGAAGCTTCTCCAGCGCTGACTGGGTGGTGGTGAAGGATTTATACTCCTTGCAGACAGCTGGTCATTGTGGACTCTTTAAAGCAGGGGTCTTCAAACTCGGCCCTTTTATGACTCGTGGACTTCAACTCCCAAAATTCCTCAGCCAGCGTGCCATAGACAAATGGAAGGAATGTTGTCATTTCCATCCATTGCATCAGGGCGATACCAAGTGCATCACAGCATCATCCCCAAACGATGCAACAGATGAAAGTACAACATTCCTTCCCTTTTTATGACCCTGTTATTTCCTGACCCACAGATTCGGTTCAGTTTGTAAACAGTCTCCCCCCACAAATCAGCAAGCGTTGTTCTGCTTGCAGAGAGGAAGGTCTGGAGCCATGGAGGAGGGGGAGAGGGGGGGGACACGTGAGGCTGATTTAAGCAGCCCCTTTCATCTGGCCAAAATTGCTCCCATTTTGCGAAGTTGCACCTGGGCCATGGGGGATCTTTGGGGTTTCTCAGGGCAGGTGTCTTAAATTAGTCTCTTGCTTTCTAGCCTTCGCGCCCCCCCCCCCCTCAGAATCGCTGCCTGCATCGGGAACAGAGGTGGAAGGTGGGCCCTCCGTCCCCAGCCCCCGACTTAGGGGGCAGGGAAGCAGAGGCAGGGACACACACACACACACACACACACACACACGGGGCAGTTCACTGGGACTGAGGAGCAGGGAAAGGTCTCAGGTTGAAGGGCAGACGCGGGGTGGGGCAGGCAGCCTTCCCCGGACCGGATGGGCCGAGTCCCCCTTCTCCGGACGGACTCTTCGCCCGCCCCCCCCCCAGTTGCGCCTGGCTGCCCCCACCCGCCTGCCCTTCCCTGGCGGCCCTCCCGGGTCTGATTCAGCTTCTCTCTGCCTTCAGAGAAGGGCTGTTTGCAAAGAGAGGGGGGCTAAAAAGCTGCCGCTGGGCCCCTTGGGCCCCTCCCCAGACCCACGTGCTTGTCACACACACACACATACACACACATTGCATCTCTTTCCCCCCCCCCCCCATTGCATCTCTTCGCCAAGCCCGGCGTCCTCCTTCCGAGCTGGCGGCGGCTCCAGGCGGGATGAAAGTACAGGTTGCAGTTCCGCCGCTTCGGACGCTACTCAGCCGCTGCTCCCCGCCACCGCCGCGGCCTCGGCTTCGGCTTCAGCTTCAACCGGCCTTTCCTGTAAGCGAAAAGCGCTTCCGATTGCTGGGGGAGCAATTTGCTCCCCCCCCTCCACTAGAGACGTGAGGGAATAGCTGCGCTACTCCTGTACTACAGGTTCAGTAATTCCCAGCTCTGGGGGGGGCCTCTCGGGGAGGAAGACCGAAAGCTTCCCCCCCCCCCCCATGAGAGATCAAACCTCAACTTTGGACAGGACGGGGGGGGGAGGAGAGACAGGTGCCCCACGTCCAAACTAGAGAGAAGGTTTAAGCAATTTAGTGTTATACCCAGGCCTTGTATGTTCACACCGCCTTAAATCATTCCCTGCTTAAAAGTTCCTCTTTGCTAAGAACTTGTGGGGTGGTGGTGGGGGGCAGTCTAGGACCTTCACCCTCAGGTGACTGGTGCACTAAGATGACCCCTCCCCTCCAGAGAGAAAACAGGGTTTGTATGAATGCACAAAGGGGGAGGGCAAAACTCAGCCAGGAAGTCTCCTGTGTCTGTCTTTCTGTGTGTGTGTGAGAGAGGGGGGGAGGGAGGGGGGGAGAAGGAAGGAAGGAAGGAAGGAAGGAAAGAAAGAAAGAAAGAAAGAAAGAAAGAAAGAAAGAAAGAAAGAAAGAAAGAAAGAAAGAAAGAAAGAAAGAAAGCTGGACACATCTGAAATGGTAAAGGTGTCCAGCTTGAGTAAGCAGTTGGACCAGAAACATATGATAGAAGTAAGGAGAGAAGGAAGGAAGGAAGGAAGGAAGGAAGGAAGGAAGGAAGGAAGGAAGAAAGAAAGAAAGAAAGAAAGAAAGAAAGAAAGAAAGAAAGAAAGAAAGAAAGAAAGAAAGAAAGAAAGAAAGAAAGCTGGACACATCTGGAATGGAAGAGGTGTCCAGCTTGAGCAAGCAGTTGGACCAGAAACATATCAAGCAACTAACCTAGAAGTAAGGAGAAATTTTCTGACAGTGAGAACATGGAGCAAATTGCCTCTGGAAGTTGTGACTGTTCCAACACTGGAGGTTTTTAAGAAGAGGTTGGACAGTCATTTGTCCAAAATGTTATAGGGTCTCTTATTCACGCAGGGGGTTGGACTAGAAGACCTTCAAGATCCCTTCCAATTCTCTTATTCTGTTACTCTATCAATTAATCAGTGGATTAATTAGTAGAACCATTTGCCTTCAGAAGTTGTGGGTGCTCCAACACTGGAGATCTTCAAGAAGAGACTGGACAGCCATTTGTCTGAAATGGTATAGGATGCATCATGCCGAAACCGCGCCCGCCCCATTGCCAGCAATGGAAAAAAAGTCGTGATACATCGTGACACATGACGTGACGTTGCGAGTTTGACACCCTTAGTACAGGGTTTCCTGCCTGAGCAGGGGGTTGGACTAGAGCAGGGGTTCCCAATTGGGGGTGCGAGATGATATTCCAGGGGGTGTGAAAACGTGGGTTTTCAAAATTATAGTGTATATGCCTAATTTGTTGCCATTATTTCAAACTTTTGTAAGGGGTGCGAGAATATATCAGAAGCGTTCTAGAAAAGGTTGGGAGCTGCTGGACTAGAAGACCTCTAAGGTCCCTTCCAAGTCAGTTACTCTGTACACTAAGGCAGAGGTCCCCAACCTTTTGGGCACCAGGGACCGGTTCCGTGGAGAGAGGTTTTTCCGTGGACCAGAGGTTGTGGTTTCTCCTGCTACCTGCATCCCACGAATGGGACTTCGCTTGTTTGTGTGGACCAGTTGCTGACATGCCACGGCCCAGTACTGGTCCACGGACCGGCGGTTGGGGACCCCTGCCCTAAAGCATCAGCCAATCAAGCCCAATTAGTTGGCACCTTTCTCAAACTGAATCCACGTCGCTTCCATTCCATAGTCCAGGTCAGGGGTAGGCAACCTTGGCTCTTTTATGACTCGTGGACTTCAACTCCCAGAATTCCTGAGCCAGCCACGCTGAGGGGAAAGGGAGAGGTTTCCAAGCTGAGCCAGGGTGGCTCAGGAATTCTGGGAGTTGAAGTCCACGAGTCATAAAAGAGCCAAGGTTGCCTACCCCTGGTCCAGGTCATTTGTGCATTGGGTGATGATGGAGTCCCCACCTCGTGCCACCTTCCATGTCAAGGCAGAACTTCTTAAGAGCCCCCCCAACCCATGGGGGCATTCGGCACCCAGACAGGCAGGCTGGGTCTCAGCTTCCGTGACTCGGCCTGGGAGATTGCTCAGCCTTTGCTTTTGCCTCAAAATTTTCCTTCTTTCCCCCGACAGACGTTCCTGTTCTGTCTCCTCAAACACCCGCCATTAAATATTTAGGGCACCTTTTCTTTTTCTCTGGCTTTTAACTTTGTAATTCAAGCCAGATTGCCCTCGCTTCCTCCTCCTGCTCCATCGCCACCGGCCCGCTCTCTTAATGCACTCAGATGCTGGCTTTAATGGATTACCTAGGATGCAACTGGATACCTTTGACTAATGGATCACTAATAGCCTGTTTCTATTTTGCAGGCTCCTTTGGTTAACTCAACCCCCTCCACCCACCCACCCAGTGCCCACCTCCCATCTTTGCATCCTGGCTCTCACACGTGTTGCCAATCATGCAGCCTTCCAGACCTTCCTCCTCCCACCCCGAGAGCCCCTCAAACCTGCCACTGCCCAGGAAGAGAAAGCCAGGGGCCTCACCAGAAGCCGGGCCCCAAAGGTGGTAGAAAGAGTACAGAGAAGAGCAACAAAGATGATTAGGGGACTGGAGGCTAAAGCATATGAGGAACGGTTGCTGGAATTGGGTATGTCTAGTTTAATGAAGAGAAGGACGAGGGGGGGCATGATAGCAGTCTTCCAGTATCTCAGGGGCTGCCACAAAGAAGAGGGAGTCAAGCTATTCTCCAAAGTACCTGAAGGCAGGACAAGAAGCAACTGGATGGAGACTAATCAAGGAGAGAAGCAACCTGGAATTAAGGAGAAACTTCCTGACAGTGAGAACAAGTAACCAGTGGAACAACCTGCCTCCAGAAGCGGTGAATGCTCCAACACTGGAGGTTTTTAAGAAGAGACTGGACAGCCATTTGTCCGAAATGGTATA